GGATGGCATCTAGCCCAGGACAGGAGTCCTCCACTCACCCACCTCATCACAGCACTCTCTGTCTTAAGGCAGTTCTATACTTAACATGCTGCACCAGCACAGCTGCACTGCTGTAGTGCTTCAGTGAAGATACGACTATTCTGCCAGTGGGAGAAACTCTCCTGTCAGAGTTAATCCACCTCCATGAGAGGCAGTAGCTACGTCAATGGGAGAAGCCCTCCTGTCAACACAGTGCTGTCTACAGCACTGTGTTGACAGGAGGGCTTCTCCCATTGACGTAGCTACTTTTCACAGCCCTGAGTGACAGTTATACTGATGCAAGTTTATAGTGTAGACCTGGCCTAAATAGTTTGTTATTTTGATTCTCTTACTTTTTCAGGAATTCCTCCCCAATTTCCTTTTTTAAATAAGGCTACCAAGGAATCCATAGTCTCCCACTTGGCAGAGCATCTGGATGGAGATCTATATCATACCTGGAAGGATTTCTGCTATGAAAAACACCCGCCTTTTTCTGAATTACAGCCTCTTTCAGGACTGATGTTGAAATCTCCAGAAATGAGGCTGCAAAGGGGACAAGGTCTAACTCTCTTAGTCTGAAGGGATCACAAGGAACAGAGTTTTTTGCTGATGAGAGGGAAAGCCCTGCTAGTAATCTTTAGCTAATTAGGAAATTTTCTATGCAATAGTCACGTGTGAGCAGCAGAGTCTGAATGACAAAATGTTCAAAGGTTAAAAGTTATAAATTTCATTCCCCTGCCAATCTTTAGCTAGAAATCCCTCTCCCATTTATCTCTAACTATCCTGGTAAGGGCTACTGGTTGTAAATATTACTGGGTAGTGCTGGGGAAAGGGGTCATCTACACCACATAACTCCAGTTAAATCAATCAATGAGCTTAGACTTGAATTCAGCCCACCTCTCTCATCTGCCTATCTATTGAGGCTCTTATAACAGTATCCATCACTGTAGCATAGTTCCTATCACACAGGGAAACTGAAGGAAAATTATAGGGGAGTCTGGGAGTGATCAAAAACCAAACACGATCTTTGGGAACCTACTTGCCTTTGAGTTTCTACATCTTTCCCCCATTTAGTAGTTGTGATTATAGGCATCAGAATAAAGAATTCCTAGGATAGAAGAAGGTGGAAAGAGGGAGAGAGAGAAAGAAAGAGCACGGATCATAATTGGTCTATGGAACTCACTGCCACGAGATATTAAGGCCAAGAATTTAACAGAATTCTAAAAGGATCAGACATTTATACAGATAGAGAGAACATCTAGTTATATTAGATAGTAGTTATATAAAAGATACGGCTTATGCACTGAGGCAGGAGTTATTGACAAGGTGAGGAAAAAACTTCTCCTGTGAGCAAGCTATTTCATCATTGTCCAGGATGGAGGTTTAACACCTTCCTCTGAAACTCTGGCATTGGCCACTCTTGGAGACAAGACTAGGTGGACCATTGTTTTAAACTAGTCTGGCAATTTCTATGGTACGGAAAACTGCCATGACTGAAAGTATGTCAGACTATCACTGAGTTGGGAGGAATTTGGGGGGGGGGGGGGAGAAGGGCAGGATGGGCAGAAGATGGCAAAACAAAAAAACAAAACAAAAAAACACAATCAGAAAGGATTACTTGGGGCTCACAATAAAGTTGGGTCCTGGCTAATCTGGGGAAGGGTTGGAGAGTGGCTATTCTTGGGGGAAGAGGTTAGACTGCATGAATTACAAAACCAAAGTACATCCCATCCCAGCTCCAGCTGGTGAGGAGCCTGATGCAGGGGAAAGGATAAAAATCCAATGTTTCTGTTTAAAGAGGTGGAACTCTGGAGAAGTTAACTAGGTTATTCCATGTAGATCTGCTGAGCCTCAAGTCACCAGCACAGACAGCTGAGAGAATACTTGCAATACCACCTGCTGTCTTTCATGATCCTAGAAAATTCCATTTTATATAATAGTTAACTCAACCCAGGAAGCTTAGAAGAACTGGATGGTGGATTTAAAAAAAAAGAGTGAATGGCTAATTGGCAATTAACTCTTTATACCTTGTGTACAGGGAAGTACCATGGAAAACCTAGAATGTCAGGGTTGGAAGGGACCTCAGGAGGTCATCTAGTCCAACCCCACTCAAAGCAGGACCAATCCCCAGACAGATTTTTGTCCCAGATCCCTAAATGCCCCCCTCAAAGATTGAACTCACAACCCTGGGTTTAGCAGGCCAATGCTCAACCCACCGAGCTCTCCCTCTGTAAATAATGAAAGGGCTCATGTCTACACCACAACTAAACACCCACAGCTGGCCCATGTCAGCTGAAGGAGCCTGAATGCAATTAAACAGCCTCATAGCTCGAGTCCTGCAGATCTGAGTCAGCTGACATAGGCCAGCCATGGGCATTTAATTTTAGTGTAGACACACCCTTAGTGGTGTCACCTAACAAATGGAGGTAGGAACATAAATATCCCAGATAAGCAACAGCTGGGGTGAGAAGCATGAATAAACAGAGCTTTATTCGCACAGCTTCCTATACTATCACACAACTGTGATAACCACCTAACAGCACATGAAGGCGGGAGATAAATTGTTTCAGTCAGGGCCATAAGGTGTAAGTATCGGATGTGATGGATCAGACCATGGGCTAGTTCAGTACCCTGTCTCTTGAGCTGGCCAATGCTAGATACTCCAAAAGAAGTCAGTCAAGCTACCCTGAATGAACCTAACCAACTGTATACGTGAATTCCTTCCCACCCACTACAGGTAATCAGATTGTCATGCAGGATGGTATTTTACCACCTTTGTTCTCTTAATCTGCACAGTTACAGAGGTTATTAATGGTTATAAGTTTTAGACTAGATGGCAGCAAAAATGCAAACTGTAAGACTAGGACATCTTGCAGCCTTTTACAATCATAATGTATCTAATACAGGAAATGAAACACTTTAGCCAGCATTATAGTGCAGCCAAGCTAGGGTGAAAGAGGCAGATGTTTAGGGTGTAGCATTGCTGTATGTTGCTAGTTTAGGACAGGAGGGTCCTTCAGCCATCCACTCTCACAGTCACCTCTTCCCTAAGTTTTGTTCACTCCCCCCCCCCCAACCCGTATTCCTTCCACAACCACCAGTCAACCAACTCAGACTTCTGCTGCTGCTCTCAGCCCTGATCCTGATAGAGACTCCCTCCTCTCCATACTCACCTTCACCTCCTCTTCTCCCCCTCTCTCATGACTCCATTCATCCCAACAACCCCCAGCCCTGACTCTGCCCCACATCAGCTTCCCTGACTCATGCATGGCCAAATCATCTCTGGAGAGACTCCACGGATGCTGCTCAACTTGCTGCATTAAAAGTTTGTTTTTTCCTTTTTCAGTTCTGCCATTTGCCTCATCAACCAGTTCCCTCCCCTCCCTGACTGGCTCCACACATCTACAAGCCCCATCACAGCACTGCTGCTCCTCAAACTTGTGCCACCTCCTTCGCCCATTTCTCTTTCAGCCCAAGATCTTGTCAAGTTTCTCAGAAGAGAACTCTCCAAGGTGAAGGCCATCCTCCCATTCCCTCTGCTGATCCTCAGCTCACAAACCCCTCCTTGCTCAGACTAGGGGCACCTCTCCTCTCCACTCCCAATCCCATATTCCTCCATCACATTTGATAATCCAGCTAGCATCCTCCCCATAGAACAGGGGCAGCTACAGTGTAGTTCTTGGCTCATCACTTCCCTTCACCAGAGATTGGCACTCCTGGCGGAGCAGGGGATGCTATACAAGATAAGAGAGAAGTAGTAGGGAGCAGTGAAAGTACTCAGAGGTGAGGATAACAGACATGAACTTGATGCAGTGAAGCAGAGGGAGCCAGAAGAAGGATCAAAGGTGTGCACACAAAATGGTCAGAGTGATGGGCAAGGAAGATGGTCTCAGTAGCAGCATTCTGAATGGACTGTAAGGGATGGCATCGGCATTTTGGGATACATGTATACAGTGAGTGACAGCCCACAGCGGAAAATTTCAGAGCCCGGGTTGACAGACTCAAGCTTGTGGGGCTCGGGCTGACACACTAAAAATAGCTGTGTAGAGGTTGCAGCTCAGGCTGGAGCTCAGGCTCTGAAGCCTAGGGAGTGGGATGATCTCAAGAGTCGAGCCACAATGTCTACACAGCTATTTTTAGCATGACCCAAACCCAAGTCTATCGACCAGGGCTCCAAGACTCACTGTCAAGGGCTGTGTAGATGCACCCAGGGAGACCAGTGGTGAGAGGTTACAGTAACTGTGGGGAGAGGCGGAGGTGGTCTAGATGAACATTCCTACTAGCTGGACAGAAAGAAATAGGACAGATCTCAGAAACATTGTGAAGGGAGAAGTAGCAGGATTTGGCCAAAGCCTGGATGTGTGGGCAAGTGAGGGTGTAGTTAAAGATGGGCCCGATGACTTTCCCCCAGACTCTCCTGTTCATGTGCTGCACCCCACCAGCTCTGCTTTCCTCCATCCCCTTTTGTCTCATACCACAAGCAGCCCTGAGCTTCTCTTGTACACCTAGAACATCTTTCCTGTTTTGTCACACTCTTTCTCCATACCCAATCTCTTTCCATAAATCTAATCAACAGCATATCTGAACGTTCTCTTTGAAAGATCAGCAAGACCCCAGCTAGAGAGGCAAAGTAGAGGAAAGACAGTATAGGAAGGCTTAGGAGTCTTGTGTTTGCCTAGACTTTAAGATCCTCAGGACAAGGCCCAATCTTCACTCTCTCTGCAAAGCACATGACACACTAAAGATATTATATACAAATGTTATGTCAGCAAGTCTCCAAGAGAATCTAGGGAGGGAGAATGCATTCCTCCAGGTCTGATCAGTGCATCAACCCTAATCACATAGGCGCTCTTCACACCAGCACACACAGACTGCGAGCTTCTTTGCCATGCCCCAACCCTGATATACATCACAGTCAAATCTCCAGAACAACAGACGACTCAGCTGAATTCATGTGAACAGCCCCCAGATTTCTTCCTTACCTGGTTCATGACATAGGTAGGAGTAAAATCCTTCGGATTTCAGCATGATGAGCAGTGATGCCCAGCCCAGAAGAACAGCAGAGAAGAGAAGATTCTCTACAACAGCTGTGCATGCCATCCACCAGCGCCGCCGATGCGCAGTAGCAAGTGTGGGAGCCATTGCAACACGTGAGGACTTATTTCTCTAGTATCTAAACCTGTAACAAATTGAAAACAGGACTCTTAAGTTCATCCCCATGTGTCAATATTTATAGAATTAGTTATTCATGGCTGCTACTTGCAGGTAGGGGCTACATGGAACAGAATTCAAGTACAGATATCTGCTCTGACAGATGTGCAAAACTACACACTAAATAGAAGCCATTGAGGCATAAAACTAAGCTCTGCAGAATGAAATTCAGAGAGTCAATGTCAAGCAGTCCAGGAGGGAAGGGAGCACACGTTCACTTGAACCTGGTGTTATGGTCTCTCTGCTGCGTATATTGCACTCCAGGGGAGTGTTCAGCGCTGAACAGCAGGTATGAAAGCACAGCCTGGGTGAAACCACAGTAGGAGATGTCTCCCACTGCCTGCTCAGAGCCCATTTTTATGGCAACCCCAGTGCTCTCCCTGCCACCTGTAGCGAGATGGAGAGAGCGGACAAGGCAGACCTCCCTTTTAAGGTGGCTCCAATAAGAAATACAGCAGCTTGCAGAATGGAGAATCATTCAACTTATCAGTCTCTCTGCAGAACTGAAGGCAGGAGAGGTTTGGGCCCCTGCAAGGTACCAATCTGCTTATCTATGTCTGTTGAGTCTCAGACATTCTTGATCATTTTGAGTCCATCCAGTTTGAGCAAATGATGGATTCACCCTACACTGGAGTGCAGATCTGCTCTGAAGAGCAACTGTGAAAGTGGTGTTTTAGAAGCAGCCACTGATTTTGGCTGCCTTATTTGAGACAGCCTGGGCCTGGTTTTCAAGAACTTCGGAACTCCAAAATCAGTGGCCATTTTGGAAAACTTGGACTTTATTTCAGTTCCTAAGCTCAGGGTCTCTACCTCAAATATCCATGGGAAGATTTGTTGGTCAGGCGAGATCAGTGGTTCTCAACATTTCCAGATTACTGTGCCTCTTTTGTAGTCTGATTTGTCTTCCGTATCCCAAGTTCCACCTCACATAAAAACCTCTCCGGCTGCCCAGCTCTGAAGGCAGTGCCACCACCAGCAGCAGCACAGAAGTAAGGGTGGCAATACCATACCACCCGTACGTCTATGCTGCTGCTGGCAGTAGCACCTTCAGAGCTGAGCAGCTGGAGAGTGGTGGCTTTTGGCCAGGGTGTTCATGTTGTTTGCAGCACTGGAGGGCTATTTTTAAAATCCTGCTCCTGTCCCACCCTGCAATATCCACTCCCACATTGTTTGTTGAATTTTTATCCCTCTCCCACTGTTATGGGAGTGGGTCCTGCAGGACCCACCAGACCCCAGTTCTGCTGCAGGGCTCTAGAGTCTGTTGTAAACTTGACAAATAAGATGAACTGACCTACCTCCTGGAAGACCTCTGCATACCCCCAGGGAGTACAAGTACCTCTGGTTGAGAGCCACTGCTCTAGAGGAGACTCATAGCCCCATTTGAAGAAGCCATTTCTATAGTCACTTTTCAGAGAGGAACCCATTTTAATTATGATGAGGAAGAGATGGCCATGAGGAAAAGTCAGGAACACCAGGGCTGCCTGTGATTACTGGATCTAGAGCAAGTCCCAACTTATAAGGTCCCTTCCTCCTGGCTCACCCCCAGCATGGAGGGTCTGACCCAATTTACTAACAGGACGCTTGAGCTATGAGTGTGGAGTAGGACTCACCCCTAATGCTGCAGTGACAGGCAGAACACAACCCCTGGCCGCCTCAGGGACTTCCCCACTCACACACCCCAGTGTCACCTGGCACAAGGGGCAGCCCTGCCCTGTCCACATGAGCTACCATAACCCTTCTTCACCCCACACAGACCACCACCACCCACCATGCAACAGCCCAAACCAGTCTGAACTGGCCGCAGCACTGAAAAGACAGGGAAGAACAGGCTCCAGGGCAACCAGGCCAGCCACAGAATATGCAGGGACTGATCCCCACATTGGGGATCCCAGGCTCTGATACTGAGCCCCCCCAGTTGCCCCCAAACACAGCCCCAGCTGGCTCCAAAATGTGCCTCCAACCCTCAGCACCCCCTGCTCCCTCTTCTCCATCAGTCCCCCGCTCCGGGTACCCCAACCCCCTCAGCACCCCCTCCTCTCCATCAGTCCCCTCCCCCCCAGAGTGCCCCCAACTCCCTCCTCCCCTTCCTGGTACCCCAACCCCCTCAGCACCCCCTCCTCTCCATCAGTCCCCTCCCCCCAGAGTGCCCCCAAATCCCTCCTCCCCCTCCGGGTACCCCAACCCCCTCGGCACCCAGAGTGCCCCCAACCCTCCGTGCGCCCCGCTGCCCCTCAGCATCGCCCGGCCCCGCTCACCCGCCCGGCGCGCTCCGCTCTCGCTCGCTCCGGTTCCACCCGGTGTTTTTTATTCGGCTCCTTAGACAAAACAGCAGCGGCAGGTGATTGGTTGCGAGCGGGCTGGAAACAGGCGGTGGCCAATCAGCGCCCACCCGGCATAGGAGGGGGCGGCCTCGGGGCCGCTCCGCCGCTGAGGTCCCGAAGCGGAGCGCGAGGTGTTGCTGCGC